GCAAGGATGTTTTCCTTGATCAGCCATTGATCGTGCTCCATGGTGAACTACGAAGATTAGCATGGGTTGAGAACACTGCCGAACGCGAACACGTACATGTTTCAAGAAGTTTGGGCACTTCAAACATTCCTTGCTAACCGCATTCAGTCCTTCTTTCCTGCGGGCTTCCTCCAGTTCACGGAACTTGAGGCTCTTGATCTTGCTGTAATCGTACTCATCCCAGTCTTCGTAATCCCATGATCCACACAAGGGCAGGAATTGGGACTCAGCTAGCTTCAATGTGTCTGACGTGGCTGTTAGCGCCGGATCCAAACCGTAGCGCACCCACTTACCCTTCTTGCGATTCAAATTTTGAACAGAATCAGGAACATCGATGATGGTCTTGGTGAAGCACTCGATGTCGTTCAGGGGTACGTAGGCTGCCTTCAGGATCAAGTCCTTGGGGCTGTTCGGCAGTTTGCGGAAATGCTTTGCAAAGGGACCGAGATACGGCAAAAGGTCGTCAGGCTGACGATCGTGATGCTGCGCCACCTCCAAGACTTTGACTGTAGGCTCATTGCCCTTGCTAGTGCCATCTTGCATTAACATACCCGCTGTTCGTTTGTTGTCCTGACTGTGTGAGTAATGAGGCAATTTGAGAGCGAAAGTGAAGCGTGTACCTTCTTGTATACGATTAACCTGTTCTTTGACAAAGCTTTCCTGCCGATAGGGTTGATGAGCAGACTCAGATGCATTTCATTGGTTAGTCGCTTGTAGTCCTCACAAGACTGATGGCACGCCTCTAGGTCGACATCGCAGATATCACAAGGTTCTCGCTTGATCTTCTCCAACTCAGCCTCCGAGACCTTGACCTTGCCTTGATGTTCAGGCAGTAATGCTTGAGTAGCGTTCTCACTGAAACTTCGCTTGATCATCTCTTCGATCTTCAGGGCCTCTACACGTAGAAGGTTCAGCATCATGTTGTAGGTGAGACGGAACTGTGATCTCAGCTTCGTGGGTTCCCCCAGCATCATCTGACGGAGTCTGGCTGCTGGTGGCGCCTCGTCGGCTCCTGGCGCGCAGATGATGACAGTGCCGACGGTGTCAAGTCCTCGCCGACCTGCACGACCGGCCATCTGAGTGTACTCGCCGGGCAGCAAATCACGGAACTCGCGGCCGTCGTGCTTACGGAACCCAGAGAACACAACGGTCCTGGTGGGAAGATTAAGTCCCATAGCGAAAGTTTCCGTGGCAAAGAGAACCTTGACAAGCGTCTTCGCAAAGAGGATCTCAACAACCTCCTTGACGATCGGCAACATGCCACCGTGATGAACGGCAATACCTCGACTAAGCAGCTCTCTCAGCCGCTTGATCTGGGGAAGCTCACGGTCTTCCTTGCTCAGTCGAGCCAGTGACTTCTCAATGGTCATATGTATCGCACTCTTCTCTGCAGCATTGCAATAGTCGATGTTAGAGAGCGCTTCGGCATTCTCCTCGCACCGCTTCTTGGAGAAGACGAATATGCAAGCAGGCAGGAGATCCTTGCTTCGGAGATGCTGTATGAGGTGGACCCAGATGTTTCTATCCTGGGCGGCAGTCGTACGACCGCCACCACGGCCCGTCCTTGCGATATTACCTCGGCCTCTAGCAGCGGGTGGGCCTCCACCGCGAGGTCCCCCTCGACCGCCACCTTGTTGACCTCGTCCGCGTTGGTTCTGGCCTCCTCTAGCGGGTGGGCCTCCGCGACCACCACCGCCTCTGCCGGCTTGTGCATCGGTTGCAGGGGGTGCCTTGACTTTGTCTTTGCCAGACAGGATATCGTTCGCGTCTTTCCAGCCATTATCGATGAACTTCTTGTCTGCTGTGACGATCTTGTGGATGCCTTTGCCAGCCCATAGGTAATGCTCCAGAGGAATTGGGCGTTTCGGAGTAGAGATGACGTAGATGTCTTTTTTCTTTGTTCGGCCCACCCAAGACGCAAACTCATACGTGTTGGGTACGGTGGCGGACAGTAGAATTAGTGTCACATGCTCCGGCAGCATTATGATGACCTCTTCCCATACGACACCTCGCTCGAGATCGTTGACATAATGCACTTCGTCAAAGATGACAAACTCGACGTCTCTGATAAGATCTGCTCCTCTGTACAGCATACTTCGAAGGATCTCGGTGGTCATGATGAGACAGCTGGCTTCGGGCCTGATCTGCACGTCTCCCGTGAGAATGCCGACATCATCAAATGTTTGGCGGAAGTCGCGGAACTTTTGATTACTGAGAGCTTTGATGGGAGAAGTATATATAGCTTTCGTCATATGCTTTGCAGCAAGTGCGATGGCGTACTCTGCAACCACGGTTTTGCCAGCGGACGTATGTGCGGCTACAAACACTGAATCGCCATGCTCAAGATGATACACTGCTTCTTTCTGGAATGTATCGAGCTCGAAAGGATACTCTCGCGCCATTTCCGGCACCAGTTCCCGGAAGTTAGTGATGTCGCGATTGATGTCAACCATGTGAGCCCACTCTCGTCCGCCCTTCCTTCCAGCACTCATGGCAAGCGGACCATGAGGTGCCAGAGCAGGGAACTCTACTGGTAACAAAGCATCGATCTCTTCGTCTCCAGCATCTTGGTCTTCATCAGGTTCTCCATTGGCGCCGATCTTGTCGTTGGCATCATCGTCATCCGCATCAGTATCCTTAGGAGCTGCAGATGCTTCACCCAAGGTATCTTCGACCTCCTGAGCAGTCTTGGCGTCCGTAGTCGGCTTCTTCTGGAAGTCAAGCCCACGCGTGAAGCCAGGCGGCACCTCTAGTAAGCCACCTTCAGCACTGAAGTTGATGACCCTGTCGAGACCGCCACTTTTCTTCCCATTCGCACTCTCTTGCTGCTGGATTGCTTCATCCTCGATAGCAGCTACTGCTTCCACGCCATCAAGGCCGCCGGGCGCGAATGGAAAGAAGCCAGCTGCACCACGTACGAATTCAGCTCTGTTAGCAGGCTTCCTGAGAAGCGAAGTAGAGTTTTTGGCTGTTGCTGAGTTTGCTGGAACGGTGACTTCCTTATATCCAGTGACGCGGCCTTCCAGCCCCTCGCGAGTGAAGCGGATGATGGTCCGGGTCTGTGTTGGGGCGATCTGGAACAGGCTTCGGTAATTGGTGGGTGCATCCCAGCGCTGCTGAAGCTGATTCAGCCACTGCGTGTTGAAAGACTTGGAGGGTGTTAGGAATTCTTGCTCCAATTCCTTCTTGATGACCTCTTTGGTTTTCCGCTGTCGCTTGGGTGGCCGCTGTTCGCCAGCTATCGAGTCTATCCCATCCTCGTCAAGGTTGCCGCTGCATAGCCGCAGCTTTTCTAGTTCCCCTGACAAAGCTTCCATATTCGCGAGTTGAGTGCGAATCTGGTAGGGTACTGTGCCTGTGGGATTGTGGCGCGACTGAGTGAGAAAATGGATGACGTTGTTCGGCGCGCCAAGCCGTGTCAAAAGGACCCACTTCCCCCGCTACCGTGTACACAGCGTCGGTGCTCCTACCATGTAAGATTCAACACTTCGTACCTGCAGATGTAAGATGGATCCTGGGAGAGCCTGCGATAAGCCCATGATATATTAGGAATTGCCCAGAAATAACAGAGTTTCTTATCTATGAGCTGCACATAATGTCTAATTGGGTATAGACGGCTACATGGTAGCCAATCCCAAATGCGAATCATAGTTCATCGTCACTTCATGACCGAGCGCAATCGCTCTTATGGTATTATCCCCGAACGCCGCGCTATGGTTGATCAAAGTCTGTTTGCAACATCACAAAGCTGCTCAATCCCACATGTCGTCCATCTCTGCCATTGCCTCCATATCGTCCGCAAAAGGATCGTCTTGTGTGGGCATCGGCCGTGTTGGGAGTGTCTTGGGTGCTGTGTAGCTAGGCTGTTCGCTCTCAGCTAATAATGCATCTAACTCGTCGTCGTCGGGTTCTCCACCTTCTGGTTGTTCCTCTGCATCGCCTGCTGGATTACATGTAAATGCCTCCCGTTCGGTTTGGTGACCTGCGTCTTCTTGGCCGCCGTTCTCAACGCCCTCCATGTCTTCGGTGCTCTGCTGTGGAGTCTTCTCTCGGGCCGCGTCCTCGTCGTCCTCATCCTGTCCCGTATTGCGGCGCGGTTTGCCTTCGTCGATCCAATCCTTCCGCATCAATTGCATGCGCTTTGTGTGTCCGACCTTCTCGATAATGGCTAGGGCGTCTGCAAACTTGGCGCGGGGGTAAAGATCGTCGAGCCACAGCTGGTACATGTTCAGCATCCGGGCAATATCTCCATACTGCAATTGAGTTAGTCGGTGGGTCTACTTGATCAGGATAAACGTACCTCGTGACCCTTCCCTTTGAAGCGGAGGCGATCCTTTGAGATCTTGCGCAAGCGGGGAATTCCAGGATCTGACAGCAGCCGTTGATCATCGAGTTTCGGCGCAGGCTGGCGCTTTTTCGTGATAACAATCTCTTCGTCAACGCCTAGGCCGCCAGCGGTGTCGCTGTTCTTGTTGCTTCGGTACTGTGGTTGTGGCGGGTTCTCGGTCGATTGAATTGGTTCTTCCGGATTCGTGACGTCTTTGAGAATGTCGTCAAGGTCATCGTCGGAATCGTGGGTGGCCATTATATCTGGTGAGGGCTATTGTGGGTGTAGTGAGGTCGGTGTCTTCGTGGGTCATAAAAAAGTTCCCATCGCGCGACGCGTCTGACGCGTTCAGCCATACGCACGGGCCTCGACCACTAGCCGCATGTGGCGCAACTAGATCTTTGTCTAGGCAGGGTCCAACCAAGCTCTCGAATGCAGCTTTGCGATCACACATCGTCTTCACTAACCTGATATTCGCTATAATCACTACCGCCTCTACCACTGCTAATGTTCATGCGACTATACGTCTGCCGCTCATACGTCCCACGTCGCAGCTGTACCGTATCGCTACTACCTTTGCGACAGCGGGTTTACCGCTCGTGATCGAAGCCCAACGCGCCCTAGGCCTCATAAAATGGCAGCATCAAATGTGCTTTCCGCCGACGCGGTAGCCCCAAGGCTCGACTACTTATTACGGCGTGCCCGTGTTGTCAAGCAGAGTACTGCGATCGATCCTCCACTCCAAGTTTCTGAGCTTGTACCGGAAAGCGAGCCTCTGCTCGGCGAGATCGAAGGAGGGAAGGAAGTGCGAACGCTTGCGGTCGAGAGTGCAGCCAAGAGTGTATTCTATGCCAATCTTGTTAGTTATCATGCTACAGTATCAGCTCCGCCAGTTGCTCACATGTTCAGGGTTCCACCCAGATTGAGGAGCCGGCCTTCGTAACCGTCTGGAATCTACTCGACATCCTCCAGTACTGTGGAGATCGGGGTAGGTTCTTCTGTCGCATTGTTTGGATTCTGGCTGACCTTCGCAGACCTCTGCCATCCGCAGCTCGTACTGTTGCTCATCGAAGAATTGCTTGACAGCCAATCAATCTCAGGATGTCGCACGGTATTCAATTTCCTTGAATCGCGGAGAGAGACTATCATTGCGGTATGTCGTCCCTCTTACTATTTTTAGCCATTCTCATCGTGCCGCAGATCAACTCCAAGAATAAGGATCTTGTCATCTTACGGCTGTGTAATGAGCTGCTCCGCCGGCTGTCCCGCGCAGAAGATCCGGTATTCTGTGGCCGGGTCTACATCTTCATGTTTCAGAGCTTTCCCTTGGGCGATAAGAGTTCGGTAAATCTGCGGGGCAATTTCCATGTGGAGAATGTGACGACATTCGAGGATTTCCTGAAGGAATCGAACACGGAAGAGGATTCTATGCAAATCGATGCTGATGGGCCTGCTCCTATTCCCAAAGAAGAGTCGAAGTCAGTGGAACCAGTCATTCAAACTGAGGATATCGACAAGAGCAAGGACGCGAAACTTACGACACTTGACACGGAGACCCTCTATCCAGTATTCTGGTCATTGCAGCACTCCTTCTCGAACCCGCCCAGGCTTTTCGAAGAAGATAATTTCAAGCAATTTCAGAAGAGCTTGGAGGCGACGCTAGCTAAATTCAGGGAAGTGCCCAAAGTGATTCAGGCCGGAGATTCAGAACGAAAGAAGGGACAAAAGTCGCGGGACGATGACGACTACGATGCCTTCGCCAACTCCTTTAATCCCAAGTATCTCACAAGCCGTGATCTCTTCAAGCTCGAGGTACGCAAGATTGCCACTATCAATCTGCGCTATGACTGACAATCTCCAGCTGAGCGATCTCGCCTTCCAACGCCACATACTTGTTCAAGCACTAATACTCATCGACTTTTTGTTGACTCTGACCGAGGGGTCCAAGAGCAAGCCATTTTACCAAAATGCGCAGAAAGCGATGCAATACAACTTCACGCTGCGCGAGGAAGACGTAAGTGCCCATCATTTGCCTCTTCTCACACCTCCGTCACGCTCTCTTGCTCGCTTCGCTGTTCGTGATCATCATCTTCTCGGCTGACCACAAAGCACAGACCGAGTGGGCATTGGGCATCAAGACGGCTATTGCAAATTACCTGCAGGAAGGCCCAGATGGCAAATTCTACTACCGGATGGTGGACACCGTGCTTTCCCGCGACAAAAACTGGGTACGATGGAAGATGGAGAACTGCCAACCATTCACTAGAGACAGAGTCCCCACAACGGACTTCCAACAAGCCAAGTCTGGGGCGCAGAAAGCTGTTGTTGGTAAGAAGGCGTCGAAGCCCATGGGTGTTCCTGGCAGTTTGAATTTCCTCTACAACAATGAAGCGGATAAGGGTCTCTCTCAGCTACGGCAAAGCGACAGGTACGTGCTCCGCTCGTCCGACTGACACTGGATTACAGCCTCTGACGTCCAGTCAGGTTCAATGTGCCGAATGCAGAGTCATATGCAAAAAAGGTCAAGATGACCGACTTGGATCTGGAAATGACTGACGCAGAGGACGAGAAGCGGCAAGCGGGGGAAAAGAAATCCAGCTACATCTGGCGAGGTCTTCGCGTGGCTTCGAAGACGCAGCTAAGCTCGTTCGATAGGATTGAGCATGGCAAAGGCCTCGAGGCTCTTCAGCCGGCCACCTCTTCCATTGAGGCGACGGGCGTTGACGCTGCACCCACTGCTTCGGATGACCAGGGGGCTCTTCCGCAAGACGAGCATCAGAGCGTCGAGGAGCAGCGGCCCGAGCAGCGTAGTCAAGTGACTGCGGAACCAGCGGCGTAGTGGTAGCAGCGACAGGGGCAGTGTCGCCTGCGCCAGCTCGGTATGTATTATCGACGGCTCTTGAGAAACATATGAGCCTTTCCTCATACGTTACTGTGCAGTATGGGGAGCGTTGTGGCGCTTTCTCATCGAATTTATCTGTGCAAGCGAAGAGAACATGGGGTTCATCTCCCCGAGCCACTCTCAGCGTATCGATAGATCGGAGGCCACGCATAGTCTGAGCGACCGCACAGCCGGTCGCCAAAGGCGCCCCTCAATCTGCAACGCCACGACTGGAGGTCGGAAGGCTGTGTGCGGCGCAAGCAGGCTGTGGAGATGAAGAGCCCCATGCTGATGAATAGAAGTCTTCGCAATATAGCCTCATCGCGTGGGAATGTACGCCGTTTCCCGGGTCTCGCACTGATGTAACCACGATGGCAAGATTGTGGCTCTCGTCCCTGGCTAAGCATGACGGAGTGTCCAGGCCCTTGAGGAATGCTCTGATCACAGATGTGCCGTGATGCGCCGGGGTGGGGCCGTCTTCAGGCTCATTGAATGAGTTGTCAGCACAAAATCCACCTACGTGGGAGATGCTGCATGATTCCGAAATGAAGGGACCTGTACGACCTGACACGACCGTTCAGCGCAGTCCGAGGCTTCCAAGGTTCTCTGCGGTGGTCTGGCACGCGGTGGGACCACCTCATGATGACATGACAAGTTGCGAACCACCAGACGGCCACGGGCCCAGACTGCTGGCAACGGATCGCAATCATATTCAATGCATTATGTTCGCGAGAGGGACCGAAGCATAAGGACCAGAGGCAGGCATGTTCTGCCGACGCTGGACAGGCACCCATGCGCTCATCAAACCCACACAAGTGTTGCGTCCCCCACCAATGACCCGCCAGCGTATTCGCGGTTTCGCTATCGCTTGCTCCTGTCATTTCCACAGGCCGTCCTCATCCGCCATCCGGGTGGTCTTGGCGTTGTTTGGGAAATCGACCGCGACGCCCTGCCGGCATCGCGTTTGGAGATTGCGTGTGCGCAGCCGGCGACGTGCTTTTTGTCGTTGCGAAACGAGCCAAACGCTGGCGGTTACCCGCGTGCTTCACAGCCAGCGGGCAAAAACAATATGCGCCGGTTCAGGCAATGCGACCGCAGACGGCGCGAGGCGGACAGTGTGCATCATTCGTCACGGGCGCTGGCCGCGGTATCGGCTACACGTTCTGTTCTGCTTTGGACACGGGCGATGGCGATCACGACGGAACGGCGCAGCAGGGGTGGCTTGCGCATCGCCCATTTTTCCCTGCAGTGCGGCCGAGCAGACTGTTGCGGTGCGCGCAGCCTCGTCGACAGGTCATTCGCGCGCTCCAGCACCGTTTCAGCGCGCTTGCTTGGACACGCACTTCCAAACACGTTACGATAACCACCGCTGTCACCCAACTACCGACAGCCCACCAGCGTCGCACACAGTCGCACTACAGCGAGAACAGGCTTCGAGAAACAGCGCCCTTCAGCATTTTCCCGGCGCGGGCCGAGCTTTTGGCCGTTAGATCGTTGTTAGCCCAGCCAGATCTGTTGCGCGCTGGTGACCCCCCGCTGCCCATTGGCGACGGCGTCATTGCTAGGCGCTCGACTACTCACCACACTGGATCAAGCAGGTGTGCAGCAGGAACACACATGTAGCTAGACGCGGTTCCTTGGTTGCCGGCAAGCATCATGGGTTACGGCTGAAGACGACCAAGGTTCGTTGTTCATGCATCTGAGCGGGCGCGATGGGCGGCTCAAACCACTGGCACTGGCAAGGCTGATGCACCGCGTTCCTGACGCATACGCAATTTGCGGTCCGTCGTCAGTAACATTTGACAGGTGCCAGAAGAAGCACTGGGGAGCCACCGGCCCAAGGCGGCCTGGTCCACCACCCAGAGCGACGTCGTCGTGTGAAGGTTTGTGGTTCGACGACAGTAGCAGCGAGTACACGAACCTGGCGGCACCAAGTCCGACCTTCACCACCACACCACCATCTCGTCCGTTCATAAACCACACTAAAGCAGCATTGACAGCAACACCCCGCAACAAGCCGTGCAAGCGTTGCCGAGCCCTGTAGCATCCCTGCGCTTTCTCGCTGCGGGTTCCTTGGACTTCCCGCATCGCATCTGGCCAATAATGGCGCCGCCGCCTGCCTCGACGTTCGACTGCGAGACGCCACGGATTAGTCCTTGCTCGTCGGCCATTTTTCTACACGGGCCCTGGTCTATGCATGTAGCCTGCAGCCCACCATGTTCACGCACCGCTCGCTCCCCTTCCCTTTCGAGGGGAGGGCACCCTGGCATGCAGCACACCTGATCCAGAGCCTTTCGATTCGCCCGTTCCCGCTCCGTCTCTCCTTCGTAGTAGGCCCACGTCCCGAGCTACCGTATCCCTGTGCCCTGAGCCTTTGGGGTCTGCTAGCCCTCGACGTTAGTCACGCTTCTCGTCGTGTAACAAGCTGCTTCCAGATCCTCGAAGGATATCATGTTTCCCTAAGAGGCACCGCTGTCCATGCGTAGTCTGACCCTAGTCCCTCGCACTTGTCTTAACCTCGATTTTATCCGGATCGTCGTCAGTAGAGTACCGTCAAGCCTTTTTGTCTGAATGATCTGTTCCCCTCCCCTGCCGCCATCGCTGATATAGCCTCCGACGGTTCCTGACCCTCTTAACAAAGGCCTACCCATCGCTGACTACCAGACGACGCTTTCACTCTTCGAAGCAAGTCGACTGTCCATCACCTCACCTCTTGTCAAGCATCAAGCGCCCACCGTCAGCGTCTATCTTTATTTGGCTCGCAGTATCACCTCCCTGGTAGCTTCTATTTCAAGCTTGAAGTTGCACCAAAACTCCGCGCCCCAATCCTACTGTCGGTACGACATCACCTTTCAGCCTGGCTTCGCATACCCGCCATCCTTAGACCCACCAACACGACAGCCTCGAACTACCTGTTCGCAACAGTCTCACGTCTTTAACGCGTGCTGGACTCGCCGTCATAGTACTGCGACTTCCTTCACTCTTTCTCGCTGATCACCCGCATCAAACCCCGCACAGGGTTCGAGCGACGATCAACTGTCCACACCAAGCTTCGTCAGATCTTTACCCCTTGCGGAATCCGCAGTCTGGTACAAGTTCGAACAAGGACGCCAACATCACCAGTCTTGAGGCCTTCTTGGTGACCAGAGTAACTAGGTAAGCAGCGGTCCAGCTTGAGGCCCGCTTCCCACTAACAGCGAGCCATAGGAGAGGTACCAGCCACACAGCTAAGCCTACATCTACTCCACTACATCAGTTTCAAAAGCGCCAATGGTCGACGGAAGCTTCCTCGTTCCTTTGTCTCCGCCTAGCTCGCCGCACATGTCTGCGTATAGCACGACTTCTGCAGACAACGAGTGGCATTCATCAGAATACAGAACTCTGGAACACACCCCACCACATTCAGATAGCGACATGGCCATGCTCCAAGCTGAGGTCGCTGGACACAACCTCGACATGAAGCGACCATCAATGCGAACACACAAGAGCTTTCCTTACCTACTCGACGGCAAGAGCCACCTGAACAGCGGCAGCAACACACCATCCGGACTTGATGAGATCGAGCAGCACGACATCCCAAATGTAACCTTTGGAGGTTCAGCACCCACCAGCCCAATCTCGAGACTGACACCCCCCTCCACCAACGATGGTGTCAACGTGGAGAAGCTCGAAGACCAAGAAGACGACGATCTCATCCTCGACGACAAGGACGACTGCGATGATGGAGAGGACAAGGGTGAAGATAGGCAACCCATGACCGCCGCGGAGATACGTGCTGCCAAGCGGAAGATGAAGAGGTTCAGACTTACCCACAACCAAACTCGGTTCCTCATGAGCGAATTCGCCCGACAAGCACACCCAGATGCGGCTCACAGAGAGCGACTTGCCCGAGAGATTCCCGGTCTCAGCCCCCGTCAGGTCCAGGTTTGGTTCCAGAACAGGTGAGTCGTGTCATAAACCACCGAAGAATGCAGATGCTGACATATGTACAGGCGTGCCAAGCTCAAGAGATTAACAAGCGACGACCGCGAGCGTATGATGAGGTCGCGAGCCTTGCCAGACGACTTCGATATGGCCTCAGCATTGCATTCACCATTCGGAAACTCCCATGGTCTAGGCACACCGCTGGCATCACCTGCATCTTACGGGTCAAGTTTCCCCGAGGGCAACATGATGCGGCCACTAAGCATTGATACCTTCCGGCGAGGGCCGCTCGACTCGCACATGTCACCCACGGGCATTAGCCCAGCGTTCGGTGGATTCACCTTTACTCCACCCCAGTCCGCAACCGATACCATTTCACCGGTATCAGCCCACGAGGGATCCCCCTTTGGCTTCCATTCAGCGCCGCTTGACACTAGCCCCAGAACGTCCAACCCTTTCTCCATGCCTGTCAGCAACCCTACCGCTTATGCTGCACAACATAGCATCCCACGCCTCTCGCTCCATGCCGACCGAATCGCAAGAAGCCGTGCCGAGTCTCTGCAGTCGCCATTGAGGACTAGCATGAGCTACACTGGTAGTCACGACAGCAATGGCTCCGAGAACCATCACGACAGTCGGTCCTACTCAAGCTCCATGATGCCATATGGAATCGGCTACTCCTGTAAGTTTACATAACCCACGTGGGCTTTCCACCATTCTAACTTTACCAGACTCCCCAGTACCAGGCTTCGGAACTTCCACGGGCAACAGAATGCGGTCCTTCTCCAACGGCGTTCCCCGGCGCATTGAGTTGAGCACCCACTACACACCTCAACGCAACGGATCGACACCACAAACAGCCCACTTTCCATCCTTTTCCGGCTCACCGCTCGTAACACCTCAGAGCTACGCAATGCCTCAGATGAGTGCACCTCACCACATGTCGTCGTTCCCAAACTCCTACATGCGGAACGACTCGGCGCACAATGACTCGTATTCTGCCGTCGGCTCTGTCCTGGGAGAAGTCATGGAGA